GTTGGACAAGAAACTGGGGATTTTTGAACACAGCGTTCTAGCACGTCCCAGGAGAAAAATGTTGATTTGTGAAATTCCGACGGAGCGAAAGGTCAGTGTAGTTTGTGAGGTTTTCAAGGCGGAGATTAACGATGTTTCTCGTCTGGATTGTGACACCGTGTAGTCTTATATAAGACGCCAACATTTCCCAGAAACAAAATCTACATCTTCAGGGCTGAAGATGTAGACTATGTTACTCAGAGCTACTGGCAGTAAATAAAATTGCTTTCATAAAATGATCAGTGAGCTTCCTGTATAATTTATTTACAACTAGTCATCAGAACGTGATGCAACGTCGTTAAATAACTAAACATACTGGCGTCCCCACACGTTGCACCTCACCACAGAAGTTCGCCCCGTTACGCTGACACGTACACAGACCTGTGGACCGATTGCTACAAGGATTGCGGAATTCGAGTTTCAATGCATTCGGTTTAAGCAACACGACAAATGAACTGAACAAGGTCTGCGAACATATATGTACTCATCCGCCATCTATGAAGCACTGGTGGAACTTCTAAGCTCGTATATAAACTGTCGCAGCTTCAAGAATACAAGCAGCGTTCATGTGAGGTCATGCACGATTTTCAACATACCTTTAGTAGTATTAACAGTGTTGGCATCAGGCCAATGCGATCCTAGAGAGACAAATATAACCTGTCCCACGACTGAGCTATTTGTTAAATAAGCTTCAGTTTAATGATACAGTCCTTCTGGGTATCCGCGCCGTGTAGACTCGTAGGGGTCACTGCTGACGAGTCTACATGGTGCCGAAACCCAGAATAACAGCATCATCATCACCATTGTCGTGAAAACCTGAAATCTCACATGCTTCAGATTGTCTAATTCTCTTTAATATTTATTACATTCAAATATTTCCTGCTCTTTTAAAAGAAATTTAATATCATGTATAAACACACCACTTATCATCAAACAATGAAAGAAGAAGTAAGAAAAACTCTAAAAATACACATCTGACTGAAACAATAAGGGCAACCACATTTCATATTAAACTATCCTTACCACTTTTGAAACAATCATGATGACAAATTTATCAGCACTTACATGAATACTTACTGGATTTGAAAATCATAAAAATGAACAAGTTCACCCCTTTAAAGTTCACCTATAAGCCTAAGATCCATTTTAATATTGTCCCATGTAAGAGTCAGGTCCCAAATTTTTCTTCCATTCAAAATATTATTCACAAACATATGACTAAGGCAAAGCTAATGAATACTCACAAATTCCTGCAAAAAACATATGAAAACTATTGTCACCTTTCTCTTCATTCACCTCTACCCACCTAAGAGCGAGGTTTAATATCAGAACCTTAAGATGATCAATTTCTGCCACATCACAGCGGACAGTCATTTTCATTCAAGTTGCAATGAGAACCTACAATCTCAAGAATGCAATTTTCTAATTACATTTCTGAGACGTAAATGAGAGTGAGTATACAGCTTCAGCATCGGTGCATTTCAACCACACCTTGCACTTGTGTGAGTTAATAATATAAGTGTATGTTACATTAAGAGTGACATGCACATGAATTTATACTACTACACTGTGTTACTTACGCCAAAATACAAGACCCATAAAATTCCCAATAAAATGATAAGAATGAGGTAATTAACCAAAATGCTTTGGGCTTCCTTGCTGTCCACCGCCATGTCAAACCACAACAGACGTGCTTCTTATTCAAATTGCAGTACCCGACTGCCAAGTGCTCAGAACTCCAAACTTAGTTTCAAGTGCCTCAGAACATAGTCAGGTTACTTATAGAAGTCCATGAAGCAACCAAACATATTTCAAGTATATTTATGGCCTACTGCATGCTCTGGAGTGTCCACCTAAACTGTTAAAAATTATATATTTTATAACTAGCAGTTTCATCTGAAATACAGCAATCTGATTATTTGCTCCTTATATTAATCTATCCTAACCAACCACAACATTCTCAATAGAATTGATATTACACCAAAGGCGAACTTGTTTTAATTTTGTCTTACACATTATAAACTCTGAACTAAGTTGAGAGGTGCTTTATACAGGAGAGATTAATGGGAGACAGCAAGCACCTCTAAAATGTCTGTCAATTTCTATCCTGGCCATCATTTTTCAAACACAATGTTTCCATCATCAGACATAATTTCCAAAACATCATATTTACTAATAATTATGATGATGAACACTGTTAAAAATAATTATTATGTTGGAAAGATATCCTGTTATATGGAACACAAAGGTTCTGACAAAAGACTGTTACTGAACCTTACCCTTTGTCATATGATTCCAATTCTCATCTTCACAGTCAATTTTCCAACTTCAATTTTAATACAGTCCTCCCATTTACCTACATGCAAATCCCCCCAAATGACATACTCACCTTATAAGGAATTCCACCCAAAATTCTGTGTTTATTTTGGCCCTCCCACCCCCAGCGTATGCTACATATTCCACTAATGTCAATTACAATCTGTAAACTCCTCACTACATAAATTTCTCTGTTGTTGTTTTACATTCATACATCCTCTTCAGCAGTGTGGCTAGAAGTTCTGTTACAACATGCAGCCTTAACATCTGTCTTCTTACATCACTAATCATATTGCTCATACTAAGATAATCTAAAATCCTCCAGAGCAACACTAGACTCACAAGGCAAACTCAGAATATTTATTTGTAATAATGTTCTATACACCACACCACTTGGCATAATGGCAATTCTAAATATATCCCCTTCCTACGTTATTTCATCATAATCTTGGGATGTTTCATCCAACAAAACCTGTGGCACATACATAAATTTATTCTCCCTCCAAACACTAAACCATCCTAAATTCATCAGTCAGTTACAAGTCTGCATTTTCATTGTGCAACCAGCAAAGTAGATCACAAAGCACTAAGAGCATATTAATAAATATCAACAAATACTGCTTCTACTGAAACTGCTATATAAACTGTAAACAGAGGAAACAAAGGAGAATAAATATCACAGAGGAAAGAAGGAGACAGAGAAAAGGAAGAAACATGGTAATTATAAAGAGCACAAAGGGAGACACTGAAATGATAGAAAAGCTGTCCCAGCACCAGAATTGTGGAAATGTCATGCTGAAAGGTAATACTTTCAAACAAACGAAGTTGTGTCTTTCAAGTTCTTGCAATAATCATTCCAAGAAAGAAATTAGTACATCAGAAGAACAACAGTCCATCAAATATGAGGCCATTTAAGATCAAAGTCAGATTTACCACATTTAAAATTTCAAGTCAAGTGTTCATTTTTCAAATAAATAAATTTAATTTTTGGGAACAACAGAATCAATGGCACAACCTGCCGCTGCAAGTAAATAATAAGGAAAGAAAGGAACCAAGCGACCAAATCATGGAAAGTACTAGCTGTCTCAAGCTATCAACGAATTATTTAGAAATTTCGCTTTGGTGACAAATTTTCGAAAGTGTGTACAAAGTGTCTCTTGTTCCGCTTCATATTCAATAACACTCAAACTTGATAGCATGTGTGATATGAATAACAACAATACAATCAAAATAGACTATTAGCCGTCCCCACTGTATTTGCAAGTTCTAACACGTTCATTATACTACCGCCACCGCACACCAGATAAAAGTTACAGTGTTATTCCAATTCACTTAAATCACAGAATCTGATAAAGAGTCCATATATTTTACCTGTTGCGGACAGTCCTAAAATAACACCTTTCTATCACACTCACTAATTAATAGCCACCATTGTACAGGTGTTTCTCAAGCACGATTGTCAAGTACATGCGTACTCTGTTGTTCATTTCTGGAACTATAAAATAAAAGCAAGAGAAAGAAAACAACTTACGCGACCATCGACCTAGCAGAATGAACTATCGGATAAGTCATCGATTCTTGCCCCTAGGTTTTCACGGCTGGAGTGTCGTATAACTATGCTTTCGGGTATGAGCCCCCCCCCCAAAAAAAAAGAAGTCTTCTGAACTAACCCCTAAGTAGCAGTAGCCCCTTGTTTGAAAAATCAAGGTCTTCCACTACGACAATATCCCAATAGCGTAAACATGCCTCTCTTGTGGTTTTAATTTAGATCGGACAATTTCAACTACTACTTTACATACGAAAATAAATATGTTTTTGAAGTCAAACTCTTCATAACTTACATGGATAAATATGAAAAATATGTTGCAAAAATGTAATTTAACCTAATTCAGTAACTATGCATACAGAATTAATTAAAATTATTTCTGTTGGTCAAAGACACCATGCATAGTTCAGTTCAATCTTCTGCCTCCACTTGGTAATGCTACTTTCCCACATGTTATACCAGTCCATGAAAATGTAGAGAAGTATGTAGGTAGAACTCCAAAAACTTAAAACTGTGTTAGCATGAGCAGTCACTTTTACACTCCAACCAATTTGAGCTCCCCAAAGTGAAAACCCCAGCACACCGACGGCTCACCGTAGACCAACAACGGAAACCTCAAAAAGACTTCGGCCAGTGGACATAATAATGAGTGACTCGATTTAGATAATACACCAACTCTTGTGCTATATATACTTTCAATGTGGTACTACATGAAGTACAGTTTTATAAAATGTGACTGTTTTCTTATGCTTAGTGCTTTATGACAAACCATCGTTTTATGAGTTGTATGATTTTAATAAACAGACTAATGAATTAATATGTTTTTGCCACTGATGATGACCTCGTGAGGTCAAAACGCATTTGGCACAAAGTGTAAACAATTTTGTTTGTATGGATTATTTTACATTTCAGATAAATATTGAGCACTGCGCGGTATGCAAGGTTTTAAGATAATATTTATGTGGCCAAAATGGTAAGAATACATGAAAAATTACAACTCACACTTGCAGTGTAGCACTTTGTCTTTTTAACATGCCCAGCAAATATGTCTCATTTGTATGTGTGTGTTTACATCTACAAATAAAGCCAATATACTGAGTATTTTTTTACAACTATATTCTTGTCAAATGTGGTAACAAGGATCTATCAAAAACTGTGTAATTTATAAAACAGATTTTAAAATATATTTCATAATTACAGTACAGTTCTTATATTATTATGACATGTTTTCAGGTACTAGTTCTAACTCTGCACAAAAAAAAATATTAGCTATAATTGACATACCTTTTAACATTACATTTGTACTTCATTAATTTTAACTGGTGCATGTTTCAAGTTGACACAACATAATAAAGGCAAAATATCAGGGACAACTAATGCAAGAACACTGGGCCTTACTGATCTCCATCTGCAGTAGTATAATTGCCTGTAATTTAAAATTCATTTTACAATGTTACAATTTGTTCACAATTTGTTCTTAAACAACAGCTGTAAAAGAATTCAGATGGTGTCTTTCAACAGACAAATAAGCTTGAAATGTCACTCTTAATTCAGATCCTATTTCCTGTCCATTACAATAAAATGGTAAATACTAGAATGACATGTACATGTCAAAACATTACTGTAGTACTTCAAAAGGGGGCACAGTCAACTTGTACTGTCACAGGGAAAACAGCATAAATTTAGTCTGTAGTAGGATACTGCAGGTGATACATAATTTATACTCAGTTTAGTCAACATGCATTTAATAAACGTGTTCCTCTCAGATATTTTAAAAAGGTAGTGTCTAAGAAACAATACATGCTATATACCACAGTGAAAAAATTAAAGCAATTAATACTGATGGTGATTCACAGAATGTTCAGTTACACTGCCTGTAAAAAGTTGAAAATGTTCCAGCTGGTGCTGTATTGGAATTATGGCTTTGTCTATATTATGAACTTTTTCACCATGCCTCTTGAGATCACGTTTCAGGGAAAATGCTTCCTTGCAAATAATACACTCAAATGGTTTCTCGCCAGTATGTATCCTTGAATGCCGTTTAAGACTTATCCTCTGTGTGAATGCTTTGTTACATACATTACAAACATGAGACTTTTCTCCGGTATGTACCGCAAGGTGTCTCATGAAATAACCTCGATCACTGAAGGACTTCAAACATGTCGCACATGTGTATGGTTTTTCCCCAGTGTGAGTGCGCACATGTTTTTCCAAGTGAGTTTTTGTAGCAAAGTATTTGTTACAAACAGAACACTGAAATGGTCTCTCTCCAGTATGTACTTTCACGTGCATAGAAAGGTTCCCTTCCTGATTGAAACACAAGCCACACACATGACACAAATAAGGCTTCTCCCCCGTATGTATTCTCACATGATTATCAATAGCTTTTTGAGTTACAAAAGATTTACTACAATGAGGGCAGTCAAAACTTTTGCCAGTATGAAGTTTTAAATGCAATGATAGGTCTGATTTACACCTAAAACATTTACCACACACATTACAGTGAAATGGCTTTTCTTCTGAATGAAGGGTCTGGTGTTTCTTTAGACTTCCTAACTGTGTGAACCGCTGACCACACTGAGAACACTGATATGGCCGATCCCCAGTGTGCATTCGCATGTGCAGACTGAGTCTCTGAACAGATTTTCCACATAGTGGACATTGATAATACTTTACACTCTCAGCACCTCCTTTTGGTCTGCCAACAGATTTCTTCATATTTGGAGAGACGAGTGTGTTGTTATTACTGTTGTTTGAACTGGAAATGATCCAGTGCTGAAAGTTAGCAGGTGGTACTGTGTTGGTATCAGACTGTCCAAATTGCTTGTCCCAGTAGCTTAATGCTATATGTGCATTTCCATAACTATACTGACAACTGTCATTAAACTGTTGTGCTGAACCAACTTGTCCCCACTGGTACATATTTTGGCACACACCCTTATTACTTGATGAAATTACAGGTGTTTCCCCTGCGGAAAAGTTCTGAGCAGCAGAGGTTGATGGAACTTGCATATCAGGTTTCATATTAGCTGGATTATCCTCTATGATGCGTACAGGTTTTCTGTGATTAAGATCTAATCCTGCTGCATTCTGTTGAAACACAATGTAATGAGAAATGCTTTCCATCCATTAAAGTATGAATTCACAATTATATTTACATGTTAGCTACAGTACAATATTCAAAAGTATGATTACTGGCTTGTTCATAAGTCCAAGGCACTAGCAATTCAAACATTCACATTACTAAGAATATGAGAAAGAAACTATGGCAATTATTATTTTTTTGAGATTACTGGCATATCTAAAAGCACCAAAGTTAATATCCAAACTGTGTAATCTGATCATGGATAATCAAGAGCATACTGTACTGAAACTGTAATGTACAACTGATAGACACAAAAAACTAAACAGTGCAATATGTTACACTTACATTGATAAGTCCTGTAAAATTGTCGGTAGTCATTTTGTTTCCAGACTCAGAAACTCTGTGATCATTTATTTTTTCTGTCACAGACAGATTCTGCAAATACAGATATATTATCAGCATGAAAAATATGAATTAACAAAATGATTCATATCAGAAGTAGGAAATTTTAAATTTCAGTTTGTACATAATTCTTGGACAAAATGGCAATAAAAACATAGACATACATTCAAAACTAAGCATATTCTGAAAGATTTGTCCAATTCTTTATCTAGTTACGTAAACAACATTTCGTTCAGCCCGCTTCTGATGGAAAGAGACCTACGATATGAAATACCAAAAGCTCCCCTCATTTGCTTAATATACTTATTATAGTATTTATACACTATTCAAATGTTTTAAATCCGCATGTCATGATTAGAAAGAATGACTTTTGTTCCTGAAATTCTTTGTGAAAGAAATGCTCTTGACTTTTTGGGTAAAGATGGATAAATATAATTTATAGGCAAGAAGCAGGGTAAAATTAATTATCTTTATTTCTATTCCACATCTAAAGTGTGTAATTCATTTTTAGAAAGCACTGAACATTTTATATAAATACACAATTTATATGTTTACATGATTTTAATATGTATAATATTTATAACTAACATTTGCATTTCCTGGAATGAAGGACACTTGGATGAACAGCCTACCTTGTTTTTTTGTTTCCCATGTCCACCGTATTGCAAGACAAAGCACTTATGACAGTTACATCACCAAACTCATGACCCTTCATCTTTGCTTCTTCTACAGGCCCTTCCTCCTTTGGGTCCTCAATGACACAAGAAAATATTTTATTGAATTAATAAAAAAACATACATGTTAAATGGCCCTTTTATTATATGGGTATGGACCAGTACCATGGCCACAAATTTTATTTTGAAAACCAATAAACAAAAATTGCATTCCACAGATTCACTAATTTATTGAGACATATGGAACGTCGTGTTTACTCGGCATTGTTGTTACCTAGGAAAACGTTTAAGATCCATATCAACAATGTGTAAATATGGACCAACAACAATGGTTAGCTTGCGTGCATTGTTATGTTACCTAGGAAACGTCATCTGGTTCCACTGTCAATTTTTTTATACGAGAAGCATACCAGTAGCCACACATGGTTACCAATGTAATCATACACAAATGTGCGTACACTTACAAAAATTGGCATCACTTCTAAATGGAATGGATATTTAACATAACAGTAATTGTAACAACACACCTCTAACACAGCACAAGTAACGGTGATACTATCACGTAAATTTTCGAAATTTCCACAGAGCGGCAATAACGCGTTCTCCGAACACATGCCGAGCCCACATGTTTTGTTTATACTGATAAACATGCTAAATGGCTTTCTGCCACAAAATCAAAAATGTTTTTCAATGGATTACCAATGGAGCACAATTGCATGTCCGTACCACATACAATTTATCTTTTACACACCATGACATAAACAGGCATTGATCTAACTGGCGTAGAAAGTGAATAGAGTGATACAATTGAAACGTTTGAAGCCGCCCTATTTAAAGGTTTAAAACTCCCTGAAAAAATATGGATTATGATGTATACGCAACAGGGCCTACTGGTGTTACTAAAATTAAAATACATCATGTATGAATTTGCAATACACTCCATAGCCTGTGTATTGGGAGAGGTTAAAAAAATTTAAACTAAAATTTTTATAAAAAATGTGAAAAACATGGAAACCAATTGCATTTTTAATGAAAATGTAAGAAAAATTGAATGCTACTGAAAGTGGGTTAAGAAATGCTTGAAACTGTATAATTATCTCCAGATCCCAAGTTAATGATAACTTAGTATTCTTCTCTTTTCTGGTGACATGTGAAACAATCCAAAAATTTTGTCAGTTGACACTGGAACTTATCTCCATGTTGTAATTTCCTGTGCAATAAATCATGAGATCAGCTTAATGGTAAGGTGTGTGGATTCACAAAGATTCAAAAAGTGATTTAAACAACATCAAAATAGTATTTAATAGAAATATATACAGGTCATATACTATGTATAATACAATATAACATATGACTTCATTTAGAACCATTTTCTTTATAAGTGATTGTAAAGGCCACTTTATCATTCCTTATGGAAATTTGTTTTGGTAAATGGTATGGTTATTACATTTTATAAGTGATTGTAAAGGCCACTTTAGCATTCCTTATGGAAATGAATTATTTGCATTTGTAGTTAAATTATGAATTTAGTCTATAATTATAAGAGTATAAACTAAAGCTGTACAGTTTGTCATACTTCTATTAAAGAATAATTTATGTGTGGATATTTAAATGAAGGAAATTGGTAGTAAATATGACTCAAAATATATTTTACATACATCTCAAACAACAATGCAACAAAATCCTAGCTATGGGGAAAAAATCAGTAAAATATCAAATAGCAAAATCAGACTGTTCAAGTAACTAAATATATTATCTTGTGACATTGCTCTGTGCAAAGTTAACATTTTACAAAAGTGAACTCATAGATGCCACAAGTAGAATTAATTTCACCAACTGGTAAAATATAATGACTCTCAGTGAAGGCATGTTTTTAATGCTGATGTTAAGTGTATGTTTATATTTACCATCCCAAAGCAATTTCAACATCATGACCCGCATTCTCTGCGTTACATGGACTCGGCCTGCATGTCTGTGCTCCAGTTTTTACAATCAGGCTTCTGTTCTTTAATCCATGATTGCATGCAAAGCATTTGTATTTTTTGTCTTTCAGCATATCAGCCTCTTCAGTAAATTAGGAGTGCATTAAACAAGCACTTAAAGTGAGATTGTCGAAAGTGTAAGTTCAGCTTTTCACATTTCACAGTGCTATTTGACAGACAATCTCTTATTTTCTTTGGCTTTGTAAGAATGCAAAATTACAATGTGGTTAGTTCTGGAAGCATGCATAAATTATTATGGATATTTATTTACACCTTAATAGAAAAAGTCTGCTAGAAAATTAACATTTTTTGTTTTTAATTGTAACATTACCAACATACACCCACATTCAGTCCTCTCCTTATGTCACCATAACCAAAAAAGCCTGAGTTAGTTAATTTTCAACAGTGGTTAAAATTTAATCAAGATTCCAGTAAAGATGTCAATCATCTTAACTTGATATATGCCTTTATATTCCTTCCAAAGTAAGGCGGAATGGATTATAACACTCAGGACGTGGAATTTATGCATAGTCTCCACGTTCATTCAAGTTTCAGCCTCACATTACAAGGTAATACAAAGTCACAATGTAATACCTCATAAATGAGTTGAAAAACTAAATGTTTACTCTGGCAACATATGTCAGTCAAAATCGATACTTGACAGTAACAACTATACATTCCAAAACTATTAAAAGAAGAGTGTGAATATAATTCTCTTACATACCTCATATCTTTATGTCACATGTGATCAAGAGTAAACTGTGAAAGATGGCTGTATGGCATAAATATGCTTGCTTTGGTATGGTAATAGTAACCACTCTGATTCATATAAAACAATATTTAAGTACATCTAATGTCAGTTACAAATAACTCGAGAATATGAGAAATGAGTATCCTTAATCAGAATGTGAATTCTGGTCATACTGGATGAATAGTCAGCAGATTCTTCCTAGCTGGGTTGATGTCTTTCCATGTTGTTACTGCTGTCAAATGCAAAACAATATCACACTGTATGACAGTATCTTGAACACATTCTTGTGAATTATATATAAAATATGGGCACACACACCAGGAAGTGTCCAGATTATTTCTGAAGTTCCTTGCACTAACTGCCACACTTCTTCTATGAAGTCAGTTCTAACATATAAACCACAAAAGTACTACATGTATTTTCCAAATGCACTGTTATTCTACATACCTCATTGGCCTTCATGTTCACGTATTGTAGATACAGATCTCTTGTTGCAAAACTAAAGAATGCTTAGGAAACAAATTACAGTCAAATAGTTTTTCTTTCTTTTCATTAAATGTTCACAATATTGAAAAATATTTCAAATAAAGGTTGTAGTTGTGTATTTTAATTTTGCGTGAGTAATTTTTTTAAATATTAATAAAACTCAATTTGATTCATATAAAATAGAGCGTATGACCGACTGGTATGCACAAAAATTTCTGTTAACAACTTTTAGTGTGAAAACTACTGCACCAAGTTTCACCTGAATTAAGTAATTCTGAATGTGAAACATATCTGTGGAGAAACAGGACCTCTAAATTATGCATTCTGTGATCTTTGTTAGTAAAACAGTTAATGATTATGAAGATCAATGTTATCATTCTTTGAAAGTGTATGCCTCATGGCAAATACGTACCTCATTGTGGAAGAACAGAAAACCATACAGCTGAATAAGTTGTGCTACATATGCGATCCAGCTGGCCATGTATCACACCCAGATACTACTAAATCATTAAAACTTAAGTTAAAGCCCAGATGCCAGCCCTATATACAGGGGTTTAAATCCCTTACTACCATACAATAAAGATTATTATCAGTAATCCATTATCATCACTTGTGGGCACTCATACAAGAATAACATTAGGTTTTGTAGAGTAAAACATATATTTATGCTAATATAACCAATTATCTCTCTCAACAAGTAAGGGAAATGTTATGCTACCAATTAATAACAACCATAGAACATTTAATGCCCATAACTAATTACAAGCACATAGAATATGTCATCAACTAATAAAAACAGTGTTCTGAGTTCATGTATTATTATTAACAATGCTAAGCACTCTCATTTGCAAACATGAACATACAGATGTTCTCTTTAAAAGTACTACCATGTATACAGGGACAGAATAGTGTAAAGGCACCATCAGGTTTTTAAGGATCTTGTAATATGAATATTATTTTCTGTAGTTTTGTTTCAATAAGAAATTGTTATACTCAAACCTATTCAAGCCTAAAGGTAAGTATATATAACACCTGCTTCAGCAATCAGTAAATCTTAATTTTGTATTTGTAAGATTCTCACTGCAAACAGCGATTATTTCAGTAAAGAGCAATGACTATTTTTGACGTAAATACGTCTATACGGAAGGGTCATTCGGTAAAAAAGTGAAAGGAAAACATGTAACGAAAACGTGGAACGAAAATGTGTAAGATCAGTATCAACAAATCGACAACAATGGTTACCTATGGAACGTCGTGTTTACTCGGCATTGTTGTTACCTAGGAAAACGTGTAATATCCATACAACAACGTGTAAATATGGACTGACAACAATGGTCAGCTTGCGTGCATTGTTATGTTACCTAGGAAACATCATCTGTTTACTCGGCATTGTTGTGTTACATTACTGCCGTCAACAATCCGCTTTCGTTATTGCGGAAAGAGCTGAGCTGTGAATCACTTGTAGAAGTGCGTCGTAGACTAGATAATTTTGACATTACATTTCATTTCATTACATTACATTTCCTTACATTACATTACATTCAGCTACCTTCCTTTCATTGTATTTATTGCTTAAATATAATTTAAATACAGAGACGTATTTACGTCAGATTCTCCGGAACCGTGGTTCCACTGTCAATTTTTTTCAGGGTCACGATGGTCAAGTTGACCATAGACAATAAAAAAATTACAAATTGATCCTTTGTAATGGTGAAGTATTGTGTTTTTTTTGCAATACAGACTGTATTCTTAAATATTATTTAGATGAGCTTTGGCTTCAGAGGGTTAATTATGGTTACACAATGTAAGATCTGTCAAAATTTCCCCAGATAATGAAGGGAGTTTAAAGTTTTAAATGAAGAACTGTTCCAAAGTTGTGGGTTATGAATGATATTCTACAACAAGAACAAACATGGAAATCAATGCGTAACCACTCAAAGTAGATGTAACTGTTATATTCCTGATGATAAACATAGAACAGTTTAAAATATCAGAACGTATTCGTTTTAAAGATGCTACAGGAACCCATAAGAGTTTCCACCAGCATGTTTGTTTTCTTTCATCAGGATGTTAACATGAAGGATTCTATACACTGAAAGAAATTCCAGAACAATATACAGACCAATGTCACCTGACAGTAAGACTGTGGACACAAAATTATTTGGTTGTATTGTACTCAGATTCACAACTTCAATTTAAAATATATTAAAGACATTTTATATACGTTATCTACTAACTTTCTGCAATGCTTTAATAAGAATTCTACTTAAACTATACTGATTTTCTTACATTTCCGGAGGAATAATTTACCACATTGCTGCTTCCCACTTCATCAACATCTGGTGGTAAATTCCTGAATTTAGCAGGATCTCCTAAGTTATGTAAAATCAACACATGACGCTCAAGTGATAACTGTGAAGGGAACTTCAGCTGACAAAATGGACATGCATAAGTTTTCTCAGTATGATGAACATGAATGTGATTCTTCAATTTGCTACGTTTTGTATAAGCTTTGTTGCATATGTTACAAATGAATGGTTTTTCACCACTATGAACTACAAGATGTTGTTGGTAATTGTACTTACTACTGAAGGCTCTCCCACAAACTTCACAATTGAATGGTTTTTCACCAGTATGTACCCTAACATGTCGTTCCAAGTGACTCTGTGTAGCAAATACTTTGTTACAGATGGAGCACAGGTGTCCGTCTCTGTTGTGCATTTTTATGTGTCGGTCAAGAGCAACCTTATACTTAAACAACTTCTTGCACAATGTGCACTGATATATTTTCTGTCCTGTGTGTACTATCGAATGTTGGTCTAGTTTCGCTTTAACAGGGAAAAATTTGTGACAGTCAGGACACTGGTGAACTTGTTCACCAGTGTGTAACCTCATATGCTGATGCATGGTACTGAGCTGCGAGAACGACTTGCTACACACACTGCAGTGGTGTCGCTCACCTGTGTGCACAACTTGGTGTCTGTCAAGATGAGCTTTTTGCAGAAAATGCTTCTTGCACACTGCACATTCATAAGGTTTCACTCCTGAATGTATAGTACTGTGTTTCCTCAAGAGGTATGGTAGAGCAAATGCTTTGTTACATACAGTACATATATAGTTCTTCTCCACTGGTAATTTTGATTTCTTCTTTTTCTTTGTTGTTGTCTCCTTCTGTACAGTGGCAATATTAGGTGTGTTGCCACTGCTTTCACCTGTTAAACTTGATGTCTTCTGAAGAGATTCATCAGAACCCACATGCTGAAAGAAATTCTGACTGCACTACACATGCAAATTCAGAAAATGACCAATGATACTAAACATGGATAAAAGTGACTCAATTTTCTTTCCACAGTTCACTGAATAATGACAACTAATGAGCATTGCATTGATCTAAGATTAGAACATTATTAAGCTGAAAAGTGTTTGTGAATTAATTGTACCTGAGACTCCTGTTTAACATTTATGATCACTTCAGGTTCAAGAAGGTGTCCATGGACCTCACTGTGCTTTTCAATACTATCACATGTTTGTTGAATATTATCAAATGCAGCAACTCTGTGGACTTCCTGTGGTGTTACAAGTGGGTCTGCCTGTGGGTGCTGTAAATGTATGTAATGTTTGTTGTTGTAAGGTAATACATAATTCCATTCTAAGAAAAAGCTGAATTTTAAAAGTCCTTCATTAAAATACATTAACATCATTATCACAATATATTTATATTATAAAATCTGTTATGAAGGATATGACCAGAAGCAGTTTAACAAAGAGTAGAATATTTGAGAATGGGGGCGACTGAAACATGCTTTCTTTTTTTTCAAACTGTACAGTATTCAAATCAACTACAACATTTTCATGTGCTTATCTTTAATGAATTTATCTGCTTGAAAAATGATTCACAAGTATTTGTGTCAGTGTTGACACTGAAACAATTTCTAATGCATTTAACTATAGTACCTCGGTAGCATCTTTCTGAATTGGTCTGAAATTATATTGCCCCAGACCTAGAATGTGTCATACTGCTTGAAAATAGATTCTTCTACATAAAGCACAATAAAAAATTATCAATGTTCTTACATATTATTTATCACAACAGTAGTAATAGTAGTAATAGTGATACAATTACAGTTCATTACATAATCTTTAATCTGTAAACACTACAGTACACTCCAGTAATGTGACTACACAGTATAATGATACCAATTCACAGTAATAAGTGTACAGACCTGATACTCGTCTTCGACGTGGGGTTCTTGCTTTATGTTCACGTGCACAACACCTGCCCTGTAGTCCTCAGCACATGTCACATCAGATGATAAATGCTCTTCATTTGACATCATTGGCTTACAGAAACCTACAACATAACTAACTGTAGCTCCATAATGAGTTGGTAATAAATTCTTAATTCACTGCTCACAGGTTCCTAAATACCATACATTTTTGACAGTAGTGAAAATCTGTTACTCCTAACCTTATCAAAGTATATCTGATGACTATATCTAAAATCCTTAAGTATGATTCTGTGGAAAGGTAGTTCCAAATGGAAACAAGTCATTACAGGTTAAACTCATTTGTATGCTGTTTAATTATGCTGAGACAACTGCAGATGTCACTTGGCCTCAAATGAAATGATAGTGTTACATATTATGAATTGAAAGGACTGGGAAGGAAATGGCCATGGCCTATGTAAGGTATTAGATGTTAATTTCCTTAGAAGGGCTGAGGAAACGAACAAATTAACCTTCAAGGATTTAAACTGTGTATCTCAAGATTAAGCAAACTCCTTTGTCACTTATGTTTTACACCATTCAGGACAATTTAAAACAAGTAGTAAAACTTTAATAATAAATTTTAGTGACACTCATACTGGTACAGCACAAATCCATATTTTATCAGTACGTTATATTAAGCATTTCCCATATCAAAACTGATAAAAATTTGCATATTGTTCAGATGAAAATGTGACAACACTGAATAGCATGGCTGAATGGTTATCACTTGAGGATCAGGAGGTCTCAGGTTAAAATCTCAGCACAAGGACCAGCTAGCTTAACACTTTCAGTGATTTTGCTCAGTCCGTTCAGGTAAATCTGAGGATAGCACTTTAAATTACATCACAACCACTACCTTCTATATTCTATCAAATTAAGATGTTAATTATATGATCTACTAACAATACTACCTAAAATTTCAATCTTAATTTATTTTAAGCTTTAAAGTAAGAAAAGGGAATGTATTTTAACCTCTGTACCTGTAAAAACATTCTACTTACATTACTTGATGTACATTGTATGGAGCATACAAATTTCTCCACACAGTATCTTAAATGCGCAGTTTTCACATAAGGCACTAAATAAACAGGAACCACATCCTTTCCTGCACAAACTTCCAATTCATAAATGACTTTCAACGGCAGTTGTAACAGGCAATTGGAATGTGCAATCTGTATTCAACTGGTTGAACTTAGATATATCAAAACACTTATTTAAAATAATATATTCACACACAAGAAGTAATAGTAACTTCAGCTGAAATTGTAAAGGTCTAATACTTCCACACTAGACTGAATGTTGATGACAACACTGAACGAGGTATTTCACTGCATTAAACAAAGTGCCCTTTGGCACAGTCTCTCCAATATGCTTTTCATATTTACTGTAATAACTGCTTTCACTTCAGAAAACGTAAGGGTTGTACTTAAACGATTTTTGAGGTTATTTTCTGGGTTTGTTACGATCAACAAGACGCATGTACTTTCATTGATCAGCAAAAAATAGCCATACATTTGTATGAAATTAATAAAATTTGATATATAATTCCCCGAGCTACTTAAAAAACAAAAATTGAACACTGCAGGCTATGGGGTCAACATTTCCAACGTCAATTCGACTTACTGCTTAAATCTTTCAAACATTTAGTACTATTAATATCTTTCAGAAACTCTTACATACAACTCTTAATTCAAAAAATCTTCTACACTCGTTTAAAACGCAATAGAGAATACAACAGGCAGTGACTCGTCTTAAGATCATCGCTTCCTTCAACTTTTTTCACTATTTATTTGGCGTAAAGAATTCTTTCAGACGAGTATTCCGATATTCTTACGGAATGATAATGCTCAACATTCATGCATCCCGAAAAGTACATGTCTACACAACACACTCAATTGCATTTTATGCACCCTAAACCTCATGATACCGGTTTCACACCACCATTCCCGTCCCAGACCCTAGGAATGTGGATCACATCTGAGCATAGGCACAGAAATTAAAAGAATAAACCTATTCCATAGATCCTTCATAGCCCTAAGCCAAGAACATACAACATATCATTGCACAAATACAATAATTATTTCTAATACAAATTAAATGCAATCTTTTCTAACCTAAAAAAGACCTAATGAAAAACTACTAATGTAACTAAAGTACATCACAGATTCAAGTTTGTCTCAATTACCTGTCATACTAATTACTGTTGAGAGTTCAGAAAGGATTTTATACCCGACAGCAACATGTTAGAATGCACAAAGTCAGTTTTGCCCCCCAAAATTACAATG